TGCGCCACCCGCAGCCAAGCGCCCTCCCGTCCTCTCTCTCCCTCCCTCCGCCCGCCGTCCCCTCCGCCCGCCGTCCCCTTCGCAGGGGCCCTCCCGGCCTTGGCCTTCCTCCGGTGGTCCAGCCTCTGCCCGCCGTGCGGCAGCGCGAGAGGTCGGGCCGGAGCTGGGGGGGTGGGGGTGGGCGGAGGCAGCAGTCTCGCTCCCCTCCTCCTCCGCCGCCTCCTCCTCCTCCTCCGCCTCCTCCTCCTCCTCCTCCTCCTCCTCCTCCTCCTCTTCCTCCTCCTCCTCCTCCTCCTCCTCCTCCTCCTCTTCCTCCTCCTCCTCCTCCTCCGCCCCTCAGGGTGTGGAGGCGGGCTCTAGCTCGGTCGTCGTGGAGTCGCGCACGAAGCCTTCTCCGTGGGCATCTGGCGCCGCCCACGGGAGAGGCGGCCCTGCACGAGGCAACCCATGCCCTCTTCTGCAGGACCAGTCCAGTCCACAGCCCTTCTCCTTCTCGCGCGCCTGGACGTGCTGCTTCATCGCACGCCCAGCATCAACTCGAGCTCTTGGAGGAGCCAGCTCCCGCAGCCGTGCCCGAGCGAGACAGGCCCCCTCCCCCCTCTCTATCCCCTCCGGCATCGCTCAGGCTCTGCACGCCCCCCCCCCCCCCCCCCGCGTGATTCTCCCGAGGACCCGGACAGCTGCGCCTCGTACGGCTGCGGGGGTTATGGGCCCACGCGGGCGTGTCAGTGCGACCCGACCTGCGGCAAGAAGCACACTTGCTGCTACGACCGCACCCCAGAAGACCCAGATCGTTGGATCTGGTCCCACCGAGGGCGACTGAGGTTTCGGGGAGGTGGGCGGGGGTCTTTACTTGGTGTTCTGATGGCATCTAGGTGGTTTTGGGAGGCACCGTGGGGGTGCCAGGGGGCCTCGTAAGGAGGAGGAGGAGGAGGAGGAGGAAGAAGAGGAGGAGCAGATCCATCGGGACTGGTCTGCGGGAACGCTCTGGGATAGGCCAGGCTGTGGGGATCTGGATCTTGGGTGGGTGGGACGTGATCGAGGGGTGTCCAGGCGCCCATGATGAATGAGGAAGGAAAGGGAGGGAGAGAGGAGGAGACTGGAGAGGATGAGGAGGATCAGCGATCCATTGCTCGAGCGAGGGTAGAATGATCGTCACTGATTGGCTGGGCTGGCATGATCGGGATCAGTCCCAGGTCTTGCTTCGGCCCGTGTTTAGGGGGTGGTGAGTTATCTAAGGACTACTCCCTCGTTTGCTTATCGACTACGACGCTGACCACCACCAGGCGATGGGCGGCAGCAGAAACTGAGCGCACCGCCAAACTCAGCCTCATCCTTCCTCCCTCCCGTCCTCTTCCTGGTCACTCTTTCTCCCCCTTCTCGTCCTCCCCTGCACCTCATTGCAGTCTTGCTTCTCCGTCTCATCTCATCTGTTCCTCAGCCTTTTTCCTTCCTCCTGCCGCTCCTCCTCTTGCCCCCAATGCTCCTCCCATTGCTCATCCTCGCGTCGCCCCCATTTTCATTTTGTACGTCCTTCTCCTCCTCTTCCTCGTCCTCCGCCTCCTCTCTCTCCTCCGTGTTCCTTCTCTTCGGCCTCCCCTCCTCCTCCCGGGCAAAAAGTACACAACATGACTACTACTATCCTCTCGTCTCTGGCGCAGTTTGCCAGAGCACTGCTTGGACCTATCGGTGTTCACCTGTCTTTCTGAGGACTTCGATGGGTGTGCCCGGGGGTCCGGCTCGTGCCTGGCCACGGGAGCCCTGTGGATGCACCGTGCGCTGGGTGGGTGTGCGGGGTTGTCGGCCTGTGCCCGCCCTTAGGGCGCCTCGTGGTCGTTGGTTATGATTATGCTTATGATGAGTAGTATTGTAGTCGTGGGTAGTATTGTTGTGATTCGTGTTTTCGATCTTATTTGTCTTATTAGTAGTGTTGCTACTATTCGTGTTACTGCTATTGTTGTTGTTATCGCTTCTATTCCTAATTCATATTTTCACATGTTTATAATCATTCCCCAATTTGAGATTGCCTCTGTAGGGGTCCTAGCGGATGAAAGGGTTAGGTGAGGTGCGTCGCCGATTTCGGTGGCCGGGCCCGGGTGCCCGGGTGCACGCCCGGGTGCCCGGCGGTGCCCGGGTGCCCGGATGGCCGGTGAGGTGCGTGGCCGATTACGGTGGCCGGGCCCGGGTGCCCGGGTGCCTGGGGGTGCCCGGGTGCCCGGGGGTGCCCAATAGCCCAATAGCCCAGTAGCCCTATCGCCCTATAGCCCTATAGCCCTATAGCCGTATAGCCCTATAGCCCTGTAGCCCTATAGCCCTATATCCCTATAGCCCTAACAGCCTTATATCCCTATAGCCCTATAGCCCCATAGCCCATATAGCTCTATAGCCCCATAGCCCTATAGCCCTATGGCCCTGTAGGTCACAGTCCTATAGTCCTATAGCCCGATAGCCCTATAGCCCTATAGCCCGATAGCCCTACAGCCCTATAGCCCTATGGCCCGCCCTATAGCCCGATTCCAAGTGGGAGATTAAACAAATCTGATTGGGCTTTTCTCCGGTACCATAAGTTCATATTGTTGGCCTCAGCGTTTACAAACATCAGTGCTACGATTCCTATTAGGTACAATCGTTGCTGCTCCATGTTGTAGCGAGTCGTTCAAGATTGGTTGGGCTTTCTGGCCTCTCGCCTGGTGGGCGCCCGTGGGCGCCTCGGGGGTGCCCTGTGCCGGCCGTGAGATCTGGGCCCTCGCCCCGGTGGCCGCTCGTGGCCGCCCGTGTGGGGGGTCTAGGCCTGCTCCCCTAAGCGCCGGACTGATCGGCGCCTTCCCGGGCGCCCGCGGCTGCGCGGGGCGCCTGCTGTCCGCTCGTCAAAAAAAAAGTGGGGGGTCTAGGCCGCGCAGGTTGCGCCGCAGAGACTGCGCCGCACTGCCTGCACCACGGCGCTCTTGCGCCGCCCCAGACCCCCTCGCGTCATGACAAAATCACGACGGGAGGTTTTTCGTTGTTTTTGGCCTCTGGGGGCCCTTACCGGCCCTCGGGACCGTCAAAAAACGACTCAGGACGAAAAACGGGTCCTGGGGAATGGGTCCAGACTGCGGGGGGTCGACGTCATGAAAAATTCATGACGTCGGGGGTCTGGGACGGTGGCTGCACCACGTGGCTTGTGCCGGACAGTCTGCACCACAGAGCTTCGACGACTGCATGGCCCGCCGCCCCACTGTGGGACTCTCACCGTCTGGGGCCCCCCGCCGAGAAGCGTGCGATGTGCTCTTCGAGGGGACGCCCTCGGTTCTTCGGACATGGTGTTCCCGCTGCAGCGTTGGCCACATGCCATGATCGGCGCGTTGTTCCCGTGGTTCACAGAATGGCGCTCTCGCCCGAGCGCGGGCCACATCTCTCAATCCGGATCGTTCCTGGCCGCTTGCCGTTCCGCTCCTCCCCCGTTGGTCTTCCCCTGCTTCCCCTGCCCCTCCTGCTCTTCCAACTCATGCTCCCGTTTTTGCTGCTGCTCCTTGCTGTGGCTGTGTTTTCTTCGCGCCATGCTGCTCATCTACAGTGGGGACCCATGCCGAGAAACACACGGTTTGTCTCCAGGGGTCCCCAGGGGTCCCTGGGTTTCTTGGGTTTCAATGGTTTCGCTGTAGGGAGCGTGGCATTCCCGCATCAAAAATCCATGGGCGCCCAGGGGTCGCAGGGTTGGGTTATTTGTGGAAGGTCTCTTGTGGACTCGCCTCCACTGCACTTCCCCCCGACGCAGTGAAAGCCCCCATCCGAGGGCTCCGCACATCGCTGCCCGGTGACGCTTCGACCTCAGTGGCAGTCACCGCGGACCTCCTCGAGAAATTCTTGGACGAGCCTTCCCGCAGAGACTTCATATGTGGCGCCCGCAGCGCGCCCGCCTTCCACACCTCAATGCAGGCCATGGATGGATTCGACTGCCGCCACACATGAGGGGTGGTGTCAAGCTTGACTTGTGCATCACACGGTACGTAGGCTTACTTTGATGACCGCGGCCGTCTACGCCACCGCAGTCGGCTGATGGACAAGCGTCCGGCGAAATCGGAAGGGATGGGCACGAAGGGTACGGTGCCAGGTATGTTGCGAGCGCGTCTAGCCAGCGCAATCACTGTTTTCTCGTTATTCATCATTACTTCCTGCTCTTCCCACTTCTCTTACCCCTTCTCCTTTTACTCCTCCTCCTCCTCTTTCTATTCCCTCTCCTCGACGTCCCCCCTTCGTTCTCCCCATCCTCCTCGCCTCCTCCCTCCCGAGCTTCATCATCTGACCTCTTCCTCCTCCTCCTCGGTGCCTTCCACGGCCTTTCCCATGCCCTCTTTTCCTCCCGCGTCCTTAAGCCTTGTTCGATTTTTTGTTTGGATTGTCGCAGGTGGGCCAGTTATGCCAGCGTCAATTGGCAACGCCTGCTCAGCCCGTGCCGCCCTTGAATCTCTCGCACGATAGGGGGCAGGCTAAGTCGTCCGTGGGATGGTTTGCACCTGACCGCGAATCGGCCCTTGCATCCTTCGGCGTGTGGCGGCATCCACTTTTTGGCGCCAGCTGTGGTAGCCGGTTGTCCGCTCCCATCTCCTCCCTGCCAAGACAAACGAATCGGCCCTGCAAGGGTCACACAGCCTGGCCGTTCTTCAGTCTGGCCCAGGGTCGGCCCCAGTGGCGAAACTCGGCCGCGGGGCCATCGGAGCGCCGGCGCGCTGGCGACACTCCAGCGGCGTCCCCCCCCCCCCTCCCTGGGCCCCTCCACAGAGATCGTTGCGACCGCTGTTATCGTTCTCATCGCTGTTACCGTTGATGATCGTTATCGATGTTATCGTTCTCACCGTTCGTTCTCTCTCTCTCTCTCTCTCTCTCTGTCTCTCTCTCTCCTCTCTCCCTGCTCGCTCCCCCAACCTCAACCTCAACCCTGGTGGAAGGCGGCACGAATGCCACCACGTCTGCTGTCTTAGCGTGCCCCCGCAGCAGGCCGCCCGCCTTCTTCCTCAAGGATGGCGACAAGGCCCACGGCTCGCCCGCGCATCCTCCAACCCTCCTCCGCCCTCGTCGCTCCTCCTCCCTTCTCGCTCGTCTCCTCCTTCGTCCTTCTTCTGTTCATTCCTCTTCCTCTTCCTCCTCAATTCTCCTCCTTCTCCTCCTCCTCCTCCTCCTTCTCCTCCTCCTCCTCCTCCTCCTCCTCCCTCCCCTTCCTGTTCCTCTCTCCTCCTCGCGCTCTCTTCTCGCCGCCTCATCCGTCTGCCCTCCTCGCGCCTCCCCCTCCTCCTCCTCGCCCCCCGCTCTCCTGCGTGCACCTCGGTCTTCGCCCCCCGGCCCTCCCCGTGCTCTCTCCCCCTCTCCTCCCCGCTCGGCCCTCCTCCCCGCTCAGCCCTCCTCCCCGTCATCCTCCTCGTCCCCCCCTCCCCGTCTCCTCCCCCGCTCGTCTCGCTGCCCCCTGACGCCCTCCGCCCTCCTCGTGCTCTCCCCCCCCCCCCCCTCCGCCCCCCCCCCCTCCGCCCTCGCCTCTCCTGTGCCGTGCTCCCTGCGCCTGTCTCCACTGCCTCCCTCTCCCCCATTCGCCCCTCAGCTCTGCTCCTGCATCTCTCCTCCTCCGCCCTACACTTCCGCCTCACTCCTCCCCACGGCTAGCGTTAAGTCGGGCGTGTCCCTCTACAGGAGGAATATCCAAACATAGTGGTAACAAACGATCGTCAGGGGCAGATTTTTTCTCGTATTTGTGGCCATTGGGAATATTGTTTGCCAGTTTTTCAGTTTTCGTCCAAAATCCCCCTGCAGGGGGACACGCCCGACCTGAGACTAGCGACACGAGGCGCACGGCGCTCCAGCGCCCCCGCACGGCGGCCGCAGCCGTGGCCAGGGGTCGCGCGCGGCCAGCTGCGCGGTGTACGGGTGTGGAGACTTCGACCCGTCCCAGGACCGCCGGTGCGATATGCTTTCTCCTCCTCCATAGCTCCGACGAGGAAACGGTACCAATGCCGCTACCCCTCGCCCGTTTTCCCCTCAGCGGCCTCTTGGGAAGCCCTCGTCGCCACCGCTGGATTCGCCTCGGGATTCTGGTCAGGACGCACCCCGGGAGAGGTCCGGGGAGTAGCGGTATCGGTACCTTTCGGTTTCCCCACCTCTTCTTCCTCCCTCTCCAGAGCGGCGTCCTCTCCTCGTCCTCATCTGGCTTCTTGCCGCTTCGCGTAAACCCAGCAGCCCATCCAGAGACCATGCCCAGGCGAATTGCCTTGATCAGGGATGTGTAGGAGCAAGCACTGACACGAAGAGGGTGGTCTGCCGTCAAACCGAAGCTCGGGATCAGACTGAGCAGACCCAGGAGTCAACCATGAATGTATCCTCGGTTCTTCCGATCTGGGATCCCAGCCTCCAGCTGCTCAGCCACAAGGGCAGGGAAGGTGCGCATGAGGTCCACAGAGAAGTCGCGATCACCCTGCCGCGTCGCAAAATCAACAGCACGCCGCTCGATCCCATGGAGGGAGCGAAGCATCCCATGGACAGGGCCGTCAGACTTCCGCCACTGGGTCGATCCCAGCTCAGGGTCGGAACTCGAAACCTCTCTCCAAATCCGAATATGGTCTCTGTGCGAGATGTGGCTAGCACTAGGCTCGGTGAGGCCCTGCCAGAGGTTGTTGGACAACTGTGGGGCTGGGGCGGCTACACCTTGTTTCCGTGCGGGGTCCCCGTGGAGAACGCATGTAGCAGTGAGACTAGCACCGTGGTGAGCTGGTGACTTACCCGATAACGACACTGACCAACTGGAAGCAAGCTCCTGATCCGAAACTCCCGGGGCCATGCTTCCAAATCCAGCAGATGGTCGCACCCCGGCAACATGTATCTAAGTGATGCGGGTCCTATCGCTCGGTGGTCTCTCATTGTAGTGCTGGAGAGGACGACCTCGGACCCGCATGTCGTGAAATCGCTGCCGCCGCCGAGCTCGAGCCCGCTTGGCATAACCCTGTGGGCCTGGTGCTAGATCCACGCGCAGGGACGCCGTCGCGTTCGCGGCCGCGGAGGGGCACAAGGGAAAAAGACGCATCTGAACCTTCGCGGCGAGCTCGATGGAGGATGCGAAGGACGCCGCTTTGTCCTCGGCCAAATGCACGCCTAATCGCACCGCGAAGACCCACTTCAAATCTCGAGCTCCTTGGATGAGGGCTGGAAGGGCAACCTGTTCAGGACCATGTGCTGACGCCGTATCACCGTCCACGCACGACCCGAGATGCACCCCAGGATTGCGAGAAGACCACACATCAAACTCGAACACCGCTGAACGAGAGGACAGCGATGACCCCCGAGCATGACGATACGAGGTGGCCTCCAGATACGCACTATGGGGATCTTCCAGTATAAGGCCCTGTCCCGACGCCAGGTCAATGTTTGTAACTATTCATCGTATGCAATGCCGTCCCAGATGAAATCTGCAGCATGCTCACCCTTGCGGGAGGTCTCTTCGCCGACTGCTCCGCTCCGAAAGACCAGTGGAGTCTCTGAGCCCGCTCCAGGAGATCATTGACCTGGGGCCTCCGAAGCCGCTCCCAGACGCGGACAAAACATCCCAGGGGTAAGATCGGCCTGGGACCTCCTTTGGGTTTCTCCAAAAGCGGCAGCAGCATCCGCGCCCGCTGCGCGGGGGAAAGACCGAGGCGCTCCACGGACTCGTGGAGCACGGCGAAGCACGCGAGTCCCTCATCAGTGAGCGCTCCCACATGCCGAGGGTGGAAACCATCGAGACTCTGAGCGGTGTGGCGACTGAGACTTAAAGAGGCAGCGCGGAGCGCGTCAGCTGACGCGCTGGGGAAGCAATCGCGATCAGGAATCCAGGCCTCGGGGGGCTCCAGATGCGCATCCCAGAAGGTCTCCAGCTTTCGAGCCTCATCTTCGAAGTGCATGAGGGTCAGCCGTGTGCGCGCCAGGGGCACCCTGCATAACCGTGGGCTGCCAAACCTTCTTGAGCTTCGTGAACCCATGCATGAGGCGCGCAGAGCCAGCAAGGGTCCGTTCTTGCCAGAGGTCCCAGGACTCCTTCTGGATCCGCTCCCCATCCAAACCAGCTCGCCCATAATCCCCCCGGGCATCTTCCAAAAACTGCTTCGCTAGCTCTAGCCAGTCCTGGCGGTGGAGACCACTCTGGTCGCGCCGGCGACTCGCCGTCAGCCGCGTGGCTCGAAGGGAGGCGTCGAGCCGAACAGAGAGGCCTTCCCCAGGACAGGAATCCTGGAGCGACTCCTGTAGCTGCGCGCAGGTCGGCGCTCCCACCTCCTGAGGACCCTGCGCCGTCAGCGCGAATTCCTGGAAAGACTGGGCCAACCACCTCCATCCTGCAACTATCTGAAGCTTATCATCTGGATCTTTCAGACGACAGAATATCGAAACCCGCGGCGACGTTAGAGCGCGAGACCGCTTCCCCAACTCCGTCGGTTCAACCTCATCGTAATTATGAGCTCCAGCTCAGCAACATCAACAAAGCGTGCCCGTGCACTGTTCAATACCTGCCAAGCCGAAGTTGCAACATCACGCGCTGCTCGCGCGGCTGCTTCAGCGGCGAGGGCAACCGCACCTGCCCGGCACGGCGGCCGCTGCCGAGGGCCAATGGGCACATCCACTGGCGCGCGCTGATAACTACGATGAGCAAGATGCCGAAGGGAGAGAGCATCGGGCCGAACCTTAAGCTGCGCGGGCCTGCGAGGTTTGACGTCCCAGGACATAGCCGCAGACGCCCCAGTGATAAGCCTCGCTAGGCCTGCTCCCATCAGGAAAGATCAATCGTTGAGTTCGTGGGCGGCGCACGGCAAGTATGTTCGACCAGTGCTAAAATCAACATCCCCAAGGTCCTTGGAGCTCCAGAGGCCTCCATGACCTGAGGAGAAAAATCCAATCACCAGCTATAATGGCATGCGTGGGATCATGTACACGTTGACTTATCGCGGCGAGCATTTGGACGTTGGCCTGGCTGAGGCCCTCCGCCGTCTTGAGATGCACTGAGAAAATCGACGCCATCGGCCATCCAGGGAAATCAACCAAGACTTTTCTCGCACGGCCAGGGAAAACACGACCGGGTCCGTCAGGGGGCCAACGAGGCCAAACATTCAATCGAGCAAAGACCGCAACCCGACAGGAGAGTTGTTTATTAGTCTCAGGGTTCAACATGCATGGAACGCAGAGCGCATGAAATCCAAGCGAGCGTGCCGTATCCTGGCCCAGAAGGAAGGCGCCGATGCCAATGTCTTGCTCGCATGCACTAACTGCCGAAGTCTCACGCAACCGACGGCGCAGTGTCTTCCAGCAAGATCCATTGGAGGTCTCAATGAGGCAGGGCTCGGCCGCACTGGCCGAAGACGGTCATCCGCGAAGAGGCGGCGCAGGCGCGCCCGGCGCTGAGCGCGGCGTGCCAGACAGCAGCGGCGCCTTCGCACCATGACGGACGTCACCCCGCCCGCTGCTTCTTGGCCTTGACCCCGAGCGTGACCAGCAGCCCCGCAAAGTCTTTGGCGCGGTCCGTCCCTTCCTTGCGCGCCGCCGCCAGCAGCTGCTGAATCTTCTCCTTTTGGTCATCGGAGCCTGCATCAGCAGGAGGTGGGGGCCCCTCTGGCTGCGCCTGCTCTGGCGCAGGGCGCGGGGCCTGGGCCGCCGCCGCCTTTGCCGCGTACGTCCCCATGAACTTGGCACAGGCTTGGGACTTGACCACGTCCTTGACATCTTCCACAGCATGACCCTCAAGCTCCGAACGTTCCAACGTGAGATGCACCAGCACCTCGGGAGCTTGGGCGCCCGCGTCCTGCTGCGTCGTAGTCTGCAGCTCAATCTTGATGGCATCAATCTCCACCTTGGGGTTGCGCTGCTTCTCGCCGAGCTCGGCCAGCACGCGCTGTGCCTCCGCGGCCGCTTTGGCTTGCTCCTCGATGGAAACTGCCACCGCGTCATAGTTCTTCTGCTTCTCGGCCAGCTTGTGCCCCGAGGTGGTGTGACGGGATGGCCCTGGCTTCTTGTTTTGCACCGCTGTTCGGGCTGCCTTGAGCTCGCTCTCGAAGGAGTCAATGGCAGTCTGAGGCGCTCCTTCACACTCGCGGAGGGAAGTGAGAGACTCCTCCAAGTGCTGCGCGCGGGTTCGCAACTTATCATCATCCGATGGGGCCAGCGCCAGTCGACTCCTTGGTACTGCCACTCGTGGGGCCACCTCCTTTGGCCGCGGGGCCCGCAGGAGAGGCATGCTTCACGATGGATTTGCACCGCTCCATGAGGCGCTTCTCCATGGCTTCGAGCTGGCCTGTCAAGCCGCCACCCGGTGGACCCTTTGCCAGGGCGCCACGGGGCCCGCGAGGCTGCCCGCCAGCGCCGCCAGGAGGAGGACGCACCGAGCCACCGCGGGCCGCGGCAGCGCGTCGCGCGCGATCCACGATGCTCTGTGGTGCTGTTTGCCCGCGAGCACACCGAATCCGACAGGCGTAGTTCTGGTGCCTGCCGCAGCACAGGCACCCCCAGTGAGGCGTGCGAGCCCCTGGAAGTGCGTCTGCTTCACCTCTGCGAGCCGCGCGGCGTCGCGCACAACTGCTCGCGCAGGAAGCTTGGCTCCAGCAGGAGCTCTCTGAAATCCTGGCCACAAAGATTCACGGGGGCGACTGTCGCTCTGTAGACGGCCCCTACAAGCCCAAGCATTTTGGCTAGAACGGCTGCGAGAAGGTAAGCAGTGCAGCCCTGTGAGAAGGCAGGCAGTGGCAGCCTCTGCGAGCCGGCATTCGTCGCGGCAGAACGGCTCCAGCGGCTGTTCGTCGTTCGACACTTACGGCTCCGAGGCTTCGCGCTTGCGCGGGCATCGCTTCGGAGCATCGGCGGGGAGCGACCATGAGGACGGCGACGGGGGCGCCTACGGATCTGAGCGGGACGATTCCGAGATGGGCGATTCTGAGCTGGACGCCGAGGCGGCGACAGTTGACGATGAGCAGCGAGAGCCGACGGGCAGAGGCCCCAAGTGACGCTAGAGGCGGCCGAAGAGCCGAGCAGGCAGCCGCCTCCGCCCGCCCGCGCCGCGGCGCCGCCGAGGGAGCTGTCCGCGGAACCGCTCGGGCGGAGAGTCTGGGAGGCGGGTCGCCGGGAGCAGGCGGCTACTTCGTGGGGGGCATCTTCATCAGAGGGCGGCCGCCAGGGAGGTAGGGAGGTAGGGAGGTAGGAAGGTAAGGGCGCCACGGGGATGCCCATCGGTCAGCGCGCAGCAGCAGGGGGAGAAAGCGGGCAAACACTGATCTCAAGCCGAGTGTGCGTGCTGCATAAATTGGTTCGCGCATGACGCCCACTGTAGCTCTGGGCGGCCGCGCTTCTGGTACACGCGCCACTGCCTTGGACTCCTCCCTCCAGGCTCACATACACACATACAAGGGCTTCTCAACAGTTTGATTCAGATAGGCGCACAGTGTTTCATTTGCTCGCTCCTGTCGCTTTTGGGGAGTCTCGCTCAGAAGAGTGCTTCTCGCGGTGGGTAATACAGTGGCGTTCGAAATTCCTGAATCATAAGAGTGCGCGGGCTTAAATATGACTCGGGGGCACGACGCCTGGAAACTGTCAGTCTGGTGCGGTCCGCATGTGCTAGCCAAAAGGGGGGCTAAGTTGTACAATAGCTTTGGGACCACACACGCACCCAATAGGCGCAGTTTGCTGGCCAGACTGATGCCCGTATGGTTCCCCCCCGTTGGTTTCTTGTGTGTTCTTGAATGAGTAGGTGCTCTCGGGGGCGTCCTTGCGGCCACCCAGAGCCGCCTCGGGACGGTCTTGGAGACATGGTGGAGGCTATCTTTAATCGAGGATAATAGAACCCTGAACCCTAATAACATAGGGAAGACGTGGCCTCACTGAGGCCCCCGTCTTCTCATGAAGGATAATTCGTATGGGCGGTTTGCTGCAGAAGCAAAAAGCTCCCTATCCCTAATGTGTTTGGCCTCCTTACTTTGGTCGCCTTTCACATGGTTTGGGTCCTTTTCGCTATTCAATATGGGCCATTTTGCGCCATCTTGGAAGGCCCTCTCGGGGTATCTGGGGTCCGCGGGAGGGACAATCGTGAGGGGACATTGGGACAGTGGTGGGGACAGTGGGACAGTGGTGGGGACGGTACTGGTGGGGACACTGGTGAGGACGGTGGTGGGGCAATGGGACAGTGGTGCTGTGTGGAGAGCGGTGGGGACAGTGGGGACAGCAGGACGGTGGTGGGGATAGAGGGGACAGCGGGACAGCGGTGGGGACAGTGGGGACAGTGGGGACAGTGGGACAGTGGTGGGACAGTGGGACAGCGGTGGGGACAGTGGGACAGTGGTGGGAACAGTGGGACAGCTCATTGGGACAGCGGCGGAGACAGGGGGAACAGTGGGACAGTAATGGGAACAGTGGGGACAGTCGGACAGTGGTGGGGACACTGGGGACACTGGGGGAGAGTGGGACCGTGGCGGGAGCAGTAGTGGGGACAGTGAGGACAGTGTTGGGGGCACTGGTGGGGACAGCGGGGACCGTGGTGGGAACAGTGGGGGGGGGACGGTGGTGCTGGGGACAGCGGTGAGGGCGGTGATGAGGACGGTGGTGGGGACCCGGGAGTCGTTTGCCGGCTGTGAGTGGGAGGGTAAGGGGGGGGGTTCGAACTGGTAGTGACCCCCCCTTGTTTTGGAGATCCCAGGGGCGGGGGTCTGAACCGGTAGTGGGGGTTTTGCAAGGGGAAGGGAGGGGGAGGGGGGGGGGTTCGAGCAGGGGGGGGATTTTCAGGGGGGTAACCCCGGGTTCTGGAGGAAAAGGGGGGAGAGTTTTCCGCTGTAAAGCGGCGACCTATCACGCTCTCTCGCATGTTTCGATCCCTTGCGTCCTGAACTGACAGAAACTCGCGGTTCTGGTACCCTCGGCGCCCACTGCGGCAGCGGCTTGCGCCGAGCAGTCGCGGCCGCACGGTCGCTGCACGTCCCGCAAGGAGGCCGCCAGTCAGCTTGGGGGAGACCTTGCCGTGCTCCGCACAGGCAAGCAGGTGCAAGTGTTACTGTCGTAACGTGCCGAACAACTAGAGCCCTCACGATTGGTGAGCGTCACACGACGGGCATGTTTTTGAACTGTGCCTTAGACCTCGATGTCGTTGCTTGTTGTTCTTATTCCTCAGCACATCATGAGGAACCAATTGGTTCCCCCTACAGCAGAAGTGCCCAAACTGCCATTTCTTTGGCGCAGCCGCAAGTGCCTGCATCCCGTCCGACTGGGACACCATGCGCTCTTTGCGACGAGCCAACAGCGCCGATCGCGCCAGTGCGATCCGAATCGAGCGGGTTGCCCAAACTTCGGGCGTCAAGCGACCGGACGTGACGTAGACTTATCAGGGTCGCCAACCTGGTGGTTTCTGAGCGTGTGATGCCTGGGGTGTGCGACGGTGGCGCAGACGGTGATTCGCGAGGGTGATCGTGCCGCATCTAGCAAGCAAGCAAGGAATACATAAGGGGTGGCTGCGCTGGAGTCCATGTACCGCCCGCCAAAGCGCATGCGCAGCCTGCGGGCCAACCTTGTGCGGCAGCACGTGCGCAGCACGACGGGCAGCGCGACGGGCGGAGCCTCCGAGTAGGAAGACGGGCATGGGAAGTCTGAGAACGCCAGTGCTCGCAGGCCTAGGAGGGAGGGGGGCGGAGGGCAGAGGAAGAGAGCTGGACGTTGTGCCGAGACGGCGTCGAGACCAGCGGCGAGCCTGGCAAGCCAGCGGTGGAAGGAGGCTGCCCAGGGCGAAGCTCGACGCGCACCGAAGGGCCGAGAGCGGCAAGACGAGGCTGGCGATAAGCGCGGCTGGCACGAGGAGCCCGGCTGGAAATAGACTGCGGGAAGGCGCGGAGACAGGCGATGGCAGGTGGCTGGTAAATTGGCGATACCTGCGCCAGTGCAGATCGAACCCCTGCTGCAGTCGACTCGGGCGAGGGAAGACTGGGCGAATGGGATCCACCGGCAGTGCAGCCCGAGGATCGAGCAGAGTGGGAGCCCCCCGCAGGCCGATGGCAGAGCGAGCGAGGTGTGGCAGTGCCAGAGCCATCACGGATCCAGCCGCACATGTGCGGTGTGTGCTGGACGGTGTGAGCACCACTGACTGTAAGCGCGTGGCGCGGCCGCGGGGTCGACAACCGCCTCGTGAGCAGGCGGCAGCCGAATGCGGCAGGTGCGGCACCGCAGCGCAGCGGGTGGGGCAGCGCAGCCCGACGAGCCGCGGCGGCGAGGGCAGCTCCGCGCACGGCGCCTGCCAGCCAAGCGGGCTCGCGAGACTCGCAGGGGAGAAGCGAGAGAGCGAGCGGGGGAGGAGGGGGAGGGGGAGGGGGAGGGGGAGGAGGACGAGGACGAGGACGAGGACGAGGACGAGGACGAGGACGAGGAGGAGGAGGAGGAGGCGGGGAGGAGGAGGAAGGAGGAGGGGAGGAGGAGGAGGAGAAGGAGGAGGAGGGGAGGAGGAGGAGGAGGAGGAGGAGGAGGAGGAGGAGGGAGGAGGAGGAGGAGGAGGAGGAGGAGGAGGGGGAGGAGGAGGAGGAGGAGGGGAAGTGGGAGCAGTGGTCAGGCAGAGCGCGTCGGGCCAAAAGCGTCGACCGGCGCAGGGCGGAGCGGGGCCGGAGCGGACGGAGCGGCAGCCGCGGCAGCGAGGCGCACGCTCCAGGGCACTGCGCCGCGCTGCTCTGAGCCGGTCCTGCTTCAGGGCCGCGCAGGCCGGGAGGACGGCGGAAGCAGACGGCGGCGAGCCCACGGCGGGAGAGCGAGCCGCCAAGCGCGAGCCTCACCAAGCGCAGGGGAAGGACTGCAGCAGCAGCAGCAGCAGGGGCGGGGAGGAGCGGGGCGGGGGGGCGGCGACCGAGGCCGCGCCGCCTCCTCCTGATCCGCCAACCCGTGCTTTTGTTGTTTCTCTCTCTCTCTCTCTCTCTCGCCCTCTCCACGCATACACATTATATGTGCACGCATCTGTGCATACAACTTAGAGAGCGATCTCTCTCTCTCTCTCTACCTCTCCCTGCTCCTCCCCCCATCCTCGCATTCCCTCCCTCCTTCCCTCCCTGGTCCCCCCCTCTCTCCTCCTCCGACCTTCCAGCCAGCGTGAGGACTGCCAGTGCAACCCGGACTGCGAGGAGCACCACAGCTGCTGCCCAGACTTCCACGAACACTGCGCTCACGGCCACGGCCACAGCCACGACCAGTCGCCTCCGGCGCACGGGCGACAGGACGTCTCTTCTCCCTCCTCCTCCTCCTCCTCCTCCTCCTCCTCCTCCTCCTCCTCCTCCTCCTCTGCCTCCTCTGCCTCCTCCTGCCTTCTCCCTCCTCCTCCCTCCTCCTCCCACCTTTTCCTCCTCCTCCTCCTCCTCCTCCTTCTCCTCGTTCTCCTCCTCCCCTTCCTCCTCTTCCTCCCTCCACTCTCCTCTTCCGCCTGCACCCATTCCTCACCCTTCGTCTCCCTGTCTCCTGATCCTCCTCTTTCGGCACCTGTGCCTCTGGGTGCCCTTCCCAGGAAGACAAGCGGGCAGCCCGATCGTCCCCTGTCTGTCCGTAGGGGCCAGGAGGAGAGAACATTCCTCTCGTCGCCACGTTTTCCCACCCCTTGCGGTGGCCCACCAGGTACCCCGCCTGGGCTCGGGCAGGTGGGGGGTCCCCTGTGGGGGGGCCAGGGAATCAACACCCGTCCTCCCCACGGCCAGGGTGCCCCGCTCTGGCGTGCGTGGGGGTGTGCGGCCACCCGAGGGGGTGGTGCCTCTCGGGTGGCCCTGGGCGGCACGACCCGTGGGGCGTGTCGTCATCTGAGCGGGCAAGGCTCTTGGGCACGGTTCGGAGAAGGGCTTAGCGGCATGTAGCTCGTTCTCGTTCGTTTCTTGCTTGTGGCACGCCCAGGCGCTGTGCAGAAACCCCGCTCCACGAGCGGCCGCTTTGCCCGTTTGTCAGCGCTGCTTCTGGCTGTGGCTATTGGGCTCTTGCGCCTGCGTGCGCGGGCGGTCGCGCCCGCGTGGGCGAGTCGTCACGCGGCGTTTGGTTTTGCTGTCAGAATGCACGACATCCCATACAGTTGGCATCGTCGCGTGCACTGGAGCTTCACGTCAAGAAGATCGTATCCTTTGCCTGCCCCCTCCTCTCCACCTCGTCTTCCCTTCACGCTCCGACGGCATCATGTTTAGTTCCTGCGCGTTGCACCCTTGCCTCTGTTTTTTCTTCTTCGTGTTATTATTCGCATTCGTATTTTTCTGTCCTCGTCCTCCATCATTGCCGTGTTGATCATCCTTCCCCTGTCTATCTTTGTCGTTGTCCGAGCACCTTTCATCCAATACCTCTTTCATCTTCCCTCCCCCGTCCCCCTTTGTATTATTTCATCATACCTGCAGCTTTCACCTTATACCATAATACCATAGATTCCATACCCGTGCCCCTTTCTCATTCATCCGTCATGCCTATATTCTCTCATTCCCCTTGTTTTTTTCTCTCTCTCTCTCTCTCTCCCTCCTTGCTTTCCCTTTTCTCCATGCGTCCTCCGGAGTCATTCTGTCCTCCTCCATCCTCCGTCCTATCCAGGTTCTGAAAAAACCGTCCGCCAACTCCCCGTCCTTTTGTCCGTTCTCCCCCTGTCGCTTCCTCATCATGGCATCCGTCAACTGATAAGATCCTTCTCATTCGCCGTTTGATCCTTCTTCCTGTGCGGGTTTCTCCTCCTCGTCCTATCCGAGTCGTCATCATACTCTGATCACCATCGTAATTCTTCTCCTCGTCGCCATCATAATTCCTATCCTCATCCTAGTCCTGCCCTCCCTTTTCATCCTCCTCCACCTCCTCGTTTCCCCCCCTCCCTCTCCCCTCTTCCACCTCGCCCCCCCTTCCTCCTTCCCTCTCCCTCCCTCTTCTTCCTCCTCCTCCGCCTCCTCCCTCCCCCTCCGCCGTTTTCCTCCCTCGTCCACCCGCTATCCTTCGTCCTGCACACGCCCCACCCGCGAGATGGGCCAGTCCCCGAAGCCCTGAGTCTGGCTGACGGACCCCGTCGGCAGCAACTGTCTTCCTTTTTGAGTGCTCTCCTCCTCCTCCTCCTCCTCCTCCTCCAGTCCAGAACTGGTTCCTATCCTTGCCATTTGCTGGCGCAGTGGGGGGCCATGCCAAGAAACATCATGTTTGCCTCCAGGGCGCCATGGGTTTCCTGGGTTTCGATGGTTTTGCGATGGGAAGCCCGCGCCTATTTTGGGGAGCCCGCGCAAGTGGGCGACTTGTCGCCGTCGTCCAAGCTCCGTGCGCAGTTCCCTCGGGAGTGGCGATCCAGTGCGGGCGCGGCGCAAGGCTCGTCCGCCGAATCGCGCTTCCATGCGACAGCGGCAGCGGGGCGGCGCGACAGCGGGGGAACTGCCCACCTCGCCCAGGCGCTGCGCAGCTTGTTCGCGCGGCGCGCCTCTCGTCTTCGCAGCGCCCATCGGAAGTTTTGCCGCTCCCGCCCCTGCCGGGCCCTCGCAGTTCTCTCTCCGCCAGGTCGTCGGAGGCGGGGCCGCGCGCGAGCGCTCTCCGTGTGCGAGGCGGGGGCAGCGCGTGCCCGTTCTCTTTGGTGCTGTGGGCGGGAGGCTCCGGCGGGGCCCTCCGCCTCCTCCTCCTCCCCCTCTCGCCCTCCCTCCCGCCCTCCTCCCCTCCTCCCTCCTTCCTCCTCCCCCCCCTCCCCCCTCCCCCCCCTCCCTCCCTCCCTCCCTCCCCCCCCTCCTCCCTTCCCCGCTCCTTCCTGCGCGCCAGGCTCCCGCTCGGTCGGGCGGGCACGCAGGCGGCGCCGGGCAGGGCCCTCGCGGGCACCACGCCGGAGGGGCCCGGGAGGCCCCCCCGGGGATCGAGAACCCGGACGCCAACTGCAGGGCCTTCGGCTGCCTCCAGTTCTTCTAGGGGAGCGAACACGAACAACGGCGGCGGCATTGGATAAGGAACGTCTTCGTGGGGCCCAGACCCTGGCGCATTCCTTATTGTTTCAAGGCAAGGTGGGTGGCCCGCGTTTGACCGCCCATCGGTCGCGAGACCCTCAGTTCCTTATCGAAGGCATCCTTATCTAAAGCCTTCACCGTGACGCAAACATAAAGACTCGGAGGTCCGCGCGGATTTCTCGCATCCGTCCTGGACCCCTCTTAGCGGCGCCTCTGGCGCCGCCCCTAGCGCGCTCCGCGCGCCAGGGGGGGGTGGTCCAGCGCCGATTCGAGAAATCCGCGCGGACCTCCGATTTTTAATGTTCCCAGACATCCGGCTGCTCCAATTTTGGGGGGCGTGGGCCTTGGAGGTCCAGACCACTTCCCCGGCAGGTTCTTCGTCCTGAGTTGTTTCTTGGTGCTCCCGAGGCCCGGCGAGGGCCCCCAGAGCCCGAAAACTGTAATTACAAATCCCGCCTCTCCAATTTTTGTTGGAGCGTCGGATCTCAGGGTTTTTGTCATTCTTCGCTCCCCTATCTTCGTCCCAGAGCTGTCCTGCCAGTGCGCCCCGTCCTGCAGGGACCACGGCAACTGCTGCTGGGACTACCCCGACGCCTGCGCCTGATAGGCCGGCGAGCGAGTCGCCGCGCGTCTCGGCAGGTATCGGTATCGGGCGCCGCCGGGGGTGCCCTGGGCTCCCAGACCCCCCCGAGCCATGCAAAAATCACGATGGGCAGTTTTTCGCTTTTTTCGGCCTCTGGGGGCCCTTGGTGGCCCTCGGGACTCCGCCAACAAAAGGACTCGGGGCGAAAACGCGGTCCCGGGGAGCGGGTCCAGACCGCTGGGGGTCCACGCCATGGAAAAAGTCATGGCGTCGGGGGCTGGGGTCGGAGGGCACCAACTATACACCAACACCGATCCGGGCCCAGGATCACCCTGGGCCCAGGATCGGTGTATGTGCCTTCTTGCGCAAGGCAGGAGGGCGTATACACCGATCCTGGGTCCAGGGTGATCCTGGGCCCGGATCGGTGTTGGTGTATAGTCGGTGCCTTCCTATGGGGCCTCCGAAGGAGTTTTGGGACCTCTGCCTCGGCGGGAGGCCGGCGGCAGGCGGCGGAGGCTTAAGCTGAGGCGGCCTCCGCCGGCGGAGTCTCAGCTGGAAGCTCGGCGGAGGCCGGCGGAGGCCAAAGTTCAAGGAGGAGGAGGAGGAGGACGAGGAGGAGGAGGAGAAGGGGAGGGAGGAAGAGGAGGAGGAGGTGGAGGGGAGGGAGGAGGAGGGAGGAGGAGGAGGGAGGGAGGAGGAGGAGGGAGGACCGCGCCCACGGCCTCGCGGGCCCGGCCCCGAGGCCGCGGCCCCACGGAGGTGGGGGGGGTGCGATGTGCTGTCGCAGACGCTCCGCGCGGAGGCCGCGTATCCGGGGGGTCGCGGCCCAGGGTCCGGACCTCGAGGGCGTGGACGTGGGCACGTTCGCCGCCCGCGAGGCGGCCCGAGGAGCTTCGGGGAGCTCGCCGCCGGGCCAGGGCCACCCCCTGACAGCACCCGAGGCAGACAGGCCGGGCCCGGGGGGGCCCCTTCCCACGGGTCAGCGCGCAGGAGGGCGGGAGCGCCCCGGTGCGCAGTCGCCCGCTGTGGCCGTGGTGGGCGGCGGCGGTCCAGGCCTCTCAGATGGGGTCCGAGGGGGTGTGGTCGGAAGGCCGCTCCGCATCGCCGATGCACCGGCGTTGTGACTTGATGTGGAGCCCAAGAGCTTGTTTTTTTGGATTCAGGCAAGTTTACTTGCATGGCGTTCGCCCCCCCCCCCCCCCCCCCCTCGCCCCTCTTCAAGCGAATACTAGCGTGCAAGTGCCTTTCGACTTGCGTGCTTACAGCGCCCCCCCGAACGTGCAAGTCGTTTGCGGCTTGCTTCAGGCTCAGCCCCTCCCCCCCCGGTCCATGCAAGTAAACTTGCCAGAGTCTAAAAAAAAACAGGCTCCAATTCCTCCACGCCGGCATCGCCGACGCATCGGCGAGCCAGCGGAGTCTTTCTGACCCCGCCCAGTCGGACCTCATTCAGGAAGTCTCTGACCCAGACCTCCGAGGGCATGGTTGCTTCATGACGTGGACCCCCATGCGGTCTGGACCCGCTCCCCGGGACCGCTTCTTCGCCCCGAGTCGTTTCGTTGGCGGGATCCCGAGGGCCACCAAACCAAGGGCCCCAAGGAGGCCGAACGCGGCGAACAAAGAGTCCCTGGCATGATTTGTGTCCTGTCTCGAGCAAGGGCCCCCAGAGGCCGAACGCGGCGAACAAAGAGTCCCTGTCGTGCTTCGTGCCCTGCCTCGAGGGGGGTCCGGAGAGGCAGGTCCTGCAGGTCCCGTGCGCGCCGCAGGCTTCTCTCTCTTGCACCGGGCGGGGTCGCCCGGCCGCGGGCCCCCCGGGGGGGCCCGCACGGGCGGAGCCGGCTCGAGAGGTGTGTCGCAGCGGTGGTATGTCGCTGAACACACACACATCTAACACACACACACACACACACATCTAACACACACACACACACGCACACACACACACACACACACGCACACGCACGCACGCACACACACACACATCTAACACAAGCTTATGTGAATGAAGCCTAAGTTTGCTAATTATCTGATGTATGTTGTGTATGTGGGATCATATGCGATGAATCTGTCTGTATCTTCGATGAAGCCATTTCATCGGTCATATAACGCTCCTGCCGCACTCACAGCCACCCGACGATCAAAGGAGGCAGCGGTCGTATTGTTTCATGGGGCTGTTTTTTTGGCGTCGCCGGTTTCCAGGGGAGGGCAATCGACGGTGGCCTTCGAGGGGTGCCATGTGTCACCGCCTTGGGAGACGTGGGGTGGCATGGTACAGTAGGGCAACGTCGTGGGCACCTCGGGGACCACGCTCGTGCACGCCGCTGGATCCATGAGGGATTGAGGATCGAGGTTTCTGGGGGCAAGACGTTTGAGGTCAGGAGGGGGAAAAACACACACAGACACAATTAATCGTCGATTCCCCAGAAAATATGAGAAAATATGGGAATTGGGCGGGAAGACAAAAACCCAGAAAATATGGAAAACTATGGGGAATCTTTTTATTTGTGTATATTTATTTGTGTGTCCCAGGGCCTCTTCATGAGGGTCTCTGCGGGCCGCCGGGAGCCTGCAGGACCTGCAGCCTTCGCTGCCGCCCACTGGGCTCGAATGTGTATGCACGCCAGCGCAGGCTGCCAAAGGCAGCGAGCGCTGAACCTCAAGACAGGCGCCGGAGCCCGTCCTGACTGTCAATGGACGTCAGAGTGTCGGAGGTGGACAGAACCCCCAACAGTGACACGTCGATTAGTGAATTGTCCGTTTTCGGTTCTCGAGGGGGCGCCGTGGCCGTTATTTTTCAGGCCTGCGCCCGCCAGGTTTGGGCCTCAGGTCGTTGTCACTAAACCACGTTTTACTAAAGGGAGGTCTGTCCAACCCCGAGAGTGGCCTGGTGATGGTGGCGGCTAGATGCAAAACATGGCTGGGGGCTACGTTGCGCACTCACGGGAGGGCTTCCGGCTCTGACAGCGATGAGGGTTTGGCCCTAAATTTGTGTCCGTGCAGGTCGGATGATGCTCCCCGCCCCTGCACCATCGACCAAGTCCCAGCGTAATTACTCAGCCGAGCCCAGCTTAGAGCGAGGTTATGCTCTGCCGCATCCAGACGTCGAGGGCCTTGGATGTGGAATGCGTCTCTGTGGGCGAGTATATGGAGGACGTTTCTTTATATGGTTTCCATGAGGCGTCATATCAAAGTTTCGCATCGATTCCAGGTTTCGGGGGACCTTTTAGATGGTGCATACATCCAGAACGATTCCACTTGTTGTCTTGTAAGGTCTGCGGAATGAGTAGTCTCCTTGCCAGCACGTCCTGGCATGCTGACCCAGCTGTCTTTAGTTCAACGGTTGTGTTGCGCGTTCTTTCCTCCCATCCAGGCAAGGCAAGTACGTACCGCATGCGCGCCTCGACCTAGGCGTCTTTAGACCACGCTCACGAGCGGTTGGACACATAACCATGCAGGAGAGGTGAGGAGGAGGAGGAGGTGGAGGTGGAGCGGGAGGAGGAGGAGGAGGAGGAGGAGGAGGAGGAGGAGGAGGACGACGACGGGCAAGTGGCACGGGCAAGCTGACGCACATGTTGTGTACCAGCCCTTTGGCCTACGCGTGGGACACGGTGACTGTTTGCGACGCCTGCGCCTCGGAAGCGCACCAAAAAGCTGACGCGCTCAGGCTCACCAGCGCCCGAGCAGCGCTCGCGCTGTGCCGCGTCACTCCGCCTGGGCGGCGGAGGCGTCTGCAGCCAGCCGGGGCTTGCGCTTGCCCTTCTGGGCGTGCTGCCTTGCGCGCGCCCAGGGGCGCACGTGGCTGCAGTGGGCTGGAGGTCCTGGTCACCTCCGCCTGGCCGGGAGCGCCCGCTGGACCGCTGCCATGCGCAGAGGATGCGAAAGGCAGTCCAGGCGAGGCTCACGCAGAGGCAGGAGCCGAGAACACACACAAACACAGAGAGCAGGGCGCCCCTCACAGCACCGCGTCCCTCCGCCCCTGCGGGCGACCTCGCGCGCTGACCTCGCCCGTCGGCAGCAGCCGCCACAAGCGCCTGCGGACTGGCGTGCGGGCGGGGCACACCTGGGCATCCGCTCTGTCGCAAGGGGCGCCGCGCCTACCTGGGGGTAAGATCAGGGTGATGCTCACCGCCGTGTCGCCGCTCGCATGGCCGATGGATAATTTTTTGTTGGCGGCTCCCAGCGAAGGTCAGGAAGCGGGGCATCGAACGGGGCGCGAAACGAAGAGAATTAGCCGAAGAGGCGCATGCACATGCAAGGGACAACATGACCCAAATTAAACGGCCGATGGATAAGCGCTGCGTCAAGACTTCCCCAGCGACAGAGTGTCAACATGGCTGTTCCAGGGTGCGAGCTCCCGCGCACACTTTGATGCCGCGTCGCTGCCC